GTTATGTTAAACTCATATTAAAGTTTTTCTTCATTACCCATTCAAGCCGTCTCCAGCCATTATTATACTTTACATATGGCACACGAGACTCGTGTCGCGCGGACAAGCTTTGTACGATCTTATGAGGTTATATTTAAAGAGCTAAGTAGTTTTCCTCGCTATCGTGATTTACTGTGTTTTGTAGATTTGTCGACACGCTTTGTGTTGTGAAAATAATCAATATCTTGCACAATATTAAGATATTTAAAATATCGGCGGTATATTTCTATATGAGGTTCGGAATGGTTTGATGGTAATAATCTTCGAAGCCTCTTAAGCACCACATTATAAAATAAGTTATAATTGGGTATATATATCGAGCCCTAACCAATGATTAAGACGTTTTTTTTGTTTGTAATTAAGGACAAACTACACAATGGGATATCTGTGCTCTGCCCAACACGGGTATCGAAACCCGGATTCTAGCGTTGTAAGTCCGCAGACATACCGCTGTGCCACTGGGGGGCAATTATTAAGAGGTACTCTCCAAAATTGAATTTTGACATTGTTTTAATGGCCCGACATACCTGAAGAAAATAATAATGAATAGTTTAATATTCCAGTTGAAACATTCCATTATTTTTCAGCCTAAACCTCTGTCTTCACCTGAGTATCAACTGTAAACCATTTTCTCGACAAATGAACTCCAATTAAACAAGGTAGATACCTTAAGATATTTTGTTTAGTGTATGTTGGCAGGCTATTATCACAATATGAAATGGGAAGAGGTGCAAATAAAGTCGACAGTCAGCATGCGGTTAGCCCCTTCTGGGATTTGCCCGAGATAAAACTATGTTCCTAAAAAATATTTACCCGAGTTAATTCGGGCAAACCATTTCTGGTGAAAAAAAAATCTTCTTTTTCTGAGCTCATTTCCAATAAAGATAAGGCCTAACACAGAAGGGGTTCACCTATAAAACGCGAGAATCTCTTAGTTTTATCACGTATAGGATCTAATAAATTTGTTTTCACTAAAATAATTAATTTATAATATCTGTGTTTGTATTCATTCTAGAACAGTGTATCAAAGCAAATACTGTTGAGTGAGTAAACATGTGTAAAATTAACAAAATGATTAAAGAAATGCATCACAAGATCATAATAGATGCAAGAAGAGCCCGTTATCTCACCTTTTTTAGCCATTCTGTTTTAGAAATGTTTACTTTTCCCGCCGCTTTTAGCTCTTCGTAGACTGGAATACCAGGGACTCTCCAGAAGAAGAACCGCGAAATAACCTTTTCCACGGGATCCCGCATGGTGTTTATATAAATAGGGTTAGTGTAATTAAATCTGAGGTGAGAAATAAAATACGTCAATGAAACATTTTGTAAAAACATCACAAATCTTTTAGAATCATTCTAGTGCTGGACATGTCGGTCGTAATAAACCACAAGCTTAAGATGCTGTTCATTTATGAAATTTTAAAACAGATACGGAAAAAATAAAGCTTATATACTAGATGTACTTCAGCAGGGTCTTTGAAAGTGTTCTCTTTCAAGAGTAAACAAAACCAAAATTAAAAGTAACAAACATTGCTATTTCTTCCTTTTGAAATTCACATATCATGCTGTGTTGTAGTCTACAGAGTACATAATTCTTCTTCTGATTCATTGCATCTGCACGTTTTACTGACAGTAAAGATTCTTTGTCTGCTTGTTATTGATTTCGCGCAAAGCTACACGAGGGCTATCTGCGCTTGCCGTCCCTAATTTAGCAGCGCAAGACTAGAGGGAAGGCAGCTAGTCAGCACCACCCACCGCCAACTCTTTTACCAACGAATAGTGGGATTGACCGTCACATTATAATGCCCCACGGCTGAAACGGCGAGCATGTTTGGTGTGAGAGGGCTTCGAACCCGCGACTCTCAGATTGCGAGTCGAGCGCCCTAAC